CTCGCCTTCCAATGAGTGTCTGGTACAGTGTGCAAACATCGTTGGGGGAGACAAAGGCGGTTGGGTGTAATGCAGGCTATCCACCCCCTCGTGTGCCGTGCCAACCTTGATTGGTGCTACTCACAAACAGCACTTGCCCCTACAGTCCTTTTTGGCCTAAAAACGGAGTGGTCAGGGTGTCTTTGTGTGCGAGTGCACGTGCCAGTGCAGTGTGTGTGTGTGTGTGTCATGATTGTGCCAGTGTGCAGTGTGTGTGGTCGTGAGTGTGTGTGCCAATGTGCAGTGGTGTGCCAGTGTGTGGTCGTGAGTGTGTGTGTGCCAGTGTGTAGTGTGTGTGGTCTCGAGTGTGTGTGTGTCATGTGTGCAGTGTGTGTGGTCGTGAGTGTGTGTGGTCGTGAGTGTGTGAGTGCGTGCCAGTGTGCAGTGTGTGTGGTCGTGAGTGTGTGTGTGCCAGTGTGCAGTGTGTGTGGTCGTGAGTGTGTGTGCCAGTGTGCAGTGTGTGTGGTCTTGAGTGTGTGTGTGAGTGCGTGCCAGTGTGTGTGGTCGTGAGTGTGTGTGTGCCAGTGTGCAGTGTGTGTTGTCTTGAGTGTGTGTGTGCCAGTGTGTGTGAGTGCGTGCCAGTGTGCAGTGTGTGTGGCCATGTGAGTGTGTGTGTGCCAGTGTGCAGCGTGTGTGGTCGTGAGTGTGTGTGGTCTTGAGTGTGTGTGCGCCAGTGTGCGTGAGTGTGTGCCAGTGTGCAATGTGTATGTTCATGCATGTGAATGTGCATGCGTGCGTGCCGTAGTGCTGTGCATGTGTGGTCATGCATGTGCACGAGTACGCGCCGGTGTGCAGTGCGTGTAGTCTCGCATGTGTGCGTATGCTTTGTGTGTGTGTGCGCCGGTGTGCAGTGTGTGGATGCACGTGTGTGTGCACGTGTGTGTGGGCGTGTGCACACCCTGCGCGCGTGGGGTAATTACCCGATTAGGCGCCCAGACCTCCTCCCTTGCAGGTGAGCGTTACTGGGCTGTGCGGCGGCGGTGGCCGTGCCGGCATGGCGAGCCCTCATTAGATCCCGGCTCAGCCCTCCCTAAGCCGAAAACAGCTCCTTTATTAAAGGCCTTGTCTGTGCCGGGCTGGCGGGGGGCTCCCTGCACAGGGCGCTGGGTGGGTGCGCGTGGGCGCTTGCCACGGAGGGAGGAGGTGTGTTGGCGCGCGTGTGTTTGGAATAACGATGGGATGGTGTGTGTGTGTGTGGAATACAGAGGGTGTGTGGGTCACAGGTGTGTGTGTGTGTGTCACAGGTGCGTGTGTGGGTCACAGGTGTGTGTGGGTCACAGGTGTGTGTGTGTATCACAGGTGTGTGTGTGTGTCACAGGTGTGTGTGTGTGTCACAGGTGTGTGTGTGTCACAGGTGTGTGTGTGTCACAGGTGTGTGGGTGGGTCACAGGTGTGTGTGTGTGTCACAGGTGTGTGTCACAGGTGTGTGTGTGTCACAGGTGCGTGTGTGTGTGTCACAGGTGTGTGGGTCACAGGTGTGTGTGTGGGTCACAGGTGTGTGTGTGTGTCACAGGTGTGTGTGTGTGTCACAGGTGTGTGTGTGTCACAGGTGCGTGTGTGTGTGTCACAGGTGCGTGTGTGTGTGTCACAGGTGTGTGGGTCACAGGTGTGTGTGTGTGTCACAGGTGTGTGTGTGTGTCACAGGTGTGTGTGTGGGTCACAGGTGTGTGTGTGGGTCACAGCGTGTGTGTGGGTCACAGCGTGTGTGTGTGGGTCACAGGTGTGTGTGGGTCACAGAGGGTGTGTGTGAGTCACAGGTGTGTGTGTGGGTCACAGCGTGTGTGTGGGTCACATCGTGTGTGTGGGTCACAGCGTGTGTGTGTGGGTCACATTGTGTGTGTCTGGGTCACAGGTGCGTGTGTGTCACAGATGTGTGTGTGTCACAGGTGTGTGTGTGTCACAGGTGCGTGTGTGTCACAGGTGTGTGTGTGTGTCACAGGTGTGTGTGTGTCACAGGTGTGTGTGTGTGTCACAGGTGTGTGTGTGTGTCACAGGTGCGTGTGTATGTGTCACAGGTGTGTGGGTCACAGGTGTGTGTGTGGGTCACATCGTGTGTGTGTGGGTCACAGGTGTGTGTGTGGGTCACAGGTGTGTGTGTGGGTCACAGAGGGTGTGTGTGAGTCACAGGTGTGCGTGTGGGTCACAGGTGTGCGTGTGGGTCACAGGTGTGCGTGTGTGAGTCACAGGTGTGTGTGTGGGTCACATCGTGTGTGTGTGGGTCACATCGTGTGTGTGTGGGTCACAGGTGTGCGTGTGGGTCACAGGTGTGCGTGTGGGTCACAGAGGGTGTGTGTGGGTCACAGGTGTGTGTGTGAGTCACAGGGTTTGTGTGGGTCACAGGTGTGTGTGGGTCACAGGTGTGTGTGACACAGGGTTTGTGTGGCTCACAGGTGTGTGTGTGGGTCACAGGTGTGTGTGTGGGTCAGACAGGGTGTGTGGAATACAGAGGGGTGTGGCTCACAGAGGGGGTGTGTGTGTGTGTGAGAGCAGGTGGTGTGTTTAATTTCAGTGTTGGGATGTGGTATGTGTATGCAAGGTGATTATTGCTTGTAGATGGTGTTGTCATTTCCGCCCCCCTCTCCTACCTCATCCTGAAACCACGGGGAAAATGGGTGAGGTTCAGGACTGTGGCTCATGCATTGGGCTACCAAGTCGAGACCTCCCCAGAATCCCTGGCTGACGGAGGAGGAGGTGTTCCAGCTAGCTTAGGGAAAGCGGCGGATCCACTCCCACCGTCTACAATGTCCCCACGCCCCAGAATGAGGAGGCTTACCGCAGCCTCCGCTCGGAGGGTCAGAGGGCCGTGCGGCGCTGTTAGGATGGGGTGGTGGTCACAGGTTGTTGATGGTAGACCCAGTCACATAGCCTCACGGTCTAACAGTATATAATATGGTCGTTTACCGATGCATTTGTAATTGCTGCTCACTCTGGGCAGATGGAGGCTCTGCTGCCGAACACGCAGCGTGCCATGAAACAGGTTGGGCCTCCCCGTCAAACCCACCAAAAACAAAGCGCATGCCTAGGTACTCTTATGTCATCACACACTCCACCGCCTTGGCTCTCGACGAGTAAAGAGGGGGGTGGCTGTGGAGAGGGTTGGAAGGAGTTCTCGTGCCTGGCCGTTTCGTCGCCACCATCGGTGTTGCAGCGGAGGTCTCGCTCCGAGTCGGTCGAGCGGCGTTCCGGCGCCAAAGACTGGTGCCGCGTTGAAGCTGCCTGGGCCCCAGTCGCTCCCCAACGATCGCGTCTTTCATATGTGCAGGAACGGCTTCGCCGGTTTGACACGTTCAGGCTGGCCTGCCTACGGTCTCTCCTGGGATTGACCAGGCTCGATTGTGTGAGGAGCTCGCAGATCCTTGAAAGATTCTGTGACGCAGTCCCATCGGTGAGCTCCTCCGGCACATTCGAAGCTGCGTTGGCTGGGTCATATAGCCCGCATGCCCAGCCACAGTATGCCCAAGTGGATTCTGTTTGGCCAGATAGAGGTAGATAAATGGGTGTGGCACTGGCTAGACAATAGATGGACTGATGCATTACGAGAGGATGTGGAGCCGAGTGAACTTGCTGGTGACCGGTACCAACAGTGTCAAGATTGGCCTCTATGGAGGAGGCTCGTGAAGGAAGCTACTGGGCAGTTGGAGGCAGTCGCCCTCCAGCAACAATGAAGGGCGGAGGAGCCACGCTCACAACAACGAGTGGAGAAGCAGGCAGCAAGAACACCGCAAGTTGGCACAGTGGGGAGCACAGCTGGTGCATCTGCCAGTCAACTCGGTCAGTCAACCCCTGGCAAATGGGGTCTGTCCTGTGCCCTCCTTGTTGGCGAACGGTGGCTGTTGTGCACGAAATACGAATCGTAACTCATTACATTTTCACGCTTATTACACACCAAGTGCTTGCCACAAATGACCCACAATACCTTGCTGATCTCATCAAGAAGCTTAAACCATTATCACGCAAACTCCGGTCATCCTCGCAGCAACGGCTTCTGGCTAACCATAGAACAATTACGGTGGTCACCGTATCGCGCGGAGCTTTCAGATGCGCTTCTGCGGCCGTCTGGAACGCTCTTCCTTCAGATATTAGGAAGCCACTAGAGCAGGGGTCGGCAACCAAAATAACAAGAAGAGCCATTTCTTTCCAATTCGGTACAAAATTCTGTATTTCAAGAGCCGCAATGCATCTGAGTACATACGTACATATCGTCAAGAAGCAGCCCGTAAAGAGCCGCATGCGGCTCCGGAGCCGTAGGTTGCCGACCCCTGCACTAGAGCTATGCACGTTTCAATCTAGATTGAAAACTCACGTCTCGAGAACTGCTTTCCGTGTTTAGTTTGTTGTCCTTCCCCCCCACCGCACCTCCGATTAGCACGGTTGGCGACGTACGGTGACAAAGAAGTTCAACATTCCTTCATTGCAAGAATAGTTTTCACATATGAAGGGCTTCGATGAGGTCTCAATGCCCCACGAATGAAACGTGACAAAGATGATAGAGAAGGAGCCGGCTAGCAGCATTAAGAGCCAGACAGGAACAAAGCTTAAATAAAAAAAGTTTTAAAATATATTTATATATTTATATATATGAACACTGAGAGCCTGATCTCCCATGGTGGGTGGGGAGTTCCACCCCCGGGGGACCAGGTGGTGTGTATCACCACAGTGGATGTCGGTGTGTGTGTGTGGAGTGGTGGCGCTGCGGTTAGCTCACTACGCTCCAACCCGGCGGTCCGAGTTTGATCCTCGCCGACAGCCACCAGCACCGGTGACCAGCTGGAGCTGGGCCTCCCCGAGGTCGACTCGGCCTAAAAACTAGCACCTGGTGCGGCGTGTAAACATCGCCACTCGGGAGACAAAGGCGGCCGGGCGTGGTGCTGGCCACCCACCCCCCTCGACGCTCGCCAACAGCACTTGCCCCAAGCGAGTATTGAGGCTGTGCTGGGGGGGGGATGTTTTGTCTTTTCTAGCAGGAGGGATATTCTACGACAGCGTGGTGCACGACGTGGACACGGTGTGCTGGCTCGTGGGGGGCGGCGCTCCCGAAAACATCTACGCCACCGGCAGCGCCTTCACACAAGGTGAACAGCGCGCACCGCAAACGAACACGTACCGCACATGCGCGCACACACACACACGTGTACCGCACTCGCGCGTGCACGCTGACACACACCGCAAAAAAACAAACATCAAGACTGTTGGGACGAGTGCTGTTCGGAAGCACCTTTCAAGGCCGACAGCACACGAGGTGGTGGGTGGCCAACACCCCGCCCGGCTGGTTCATTTAATCGTCGCTGGTGTTGGCCATGAGCGGGAATCGAACTCGGTTCTCCGGGTTCGTAGTGCCGCGCGCCAACTGCTCCCCACGTGCCGCACTCGCACGTGCACACGCACTCGCACGTGCACACGCACTCGGAATCAGAATCTTTGTTTGTCCGGGCACGGGGTCAGAATGTTACAACAACAAACAGGACAAAAAACACGATAGGAGTGCAAAGTACAAGAAAGGTAAACAAATCACGTACACACGCACACACACGTACACACGCACACACACGTACACACACGTACACACGCACACACACACGTATACACACACGTGCACACACACGTGCACACGTACGCACGCACACGCACTCACACGTATACACGCACACACACGTACACACGCACACACACGTACACACGCACACACGTACACACGTACTAGCACGTACACACGCACACACGTACACACGCGCACACACGTATACACGCACACACACGTACACACGCACACACACGTACACACGCACTCACACGTACACACGCACACACACGTACACACACACTCACACGTATACACGCACACACACGTACACTGACACACTCAAACATACGCGCGCACAGACACACACGTGCTGAAAGATAGATGTAATATCTTTGCGTGCGCGCGTCATTATCAGCCGCTCCCCACTTGCTGTGGGTCGCTGTCCCCTGCGACCGCAAGCACGAGCCGTCTGGTTGCTTGAAGAAGCAACGAAAACTCCCAAAGCGCTCCGTGTCTCTCCCTCCTCCGCCCCGCTGCCTGCGTGGGTGAACAACGCCATCGGCAGTACCCTGACTCACACTCGCCCATGTGGTTTTATCTGGGCCATCCACCATCCCGCACCACACCCACCACCCTGCCATCACCCAAGATAATTGTCGTCGGCGGTCACGTTCACTTTCAAGTTTCAAGTCGATTTGGTTTTACCAGCTGAGAACTTCAAAGAGGCCAGCATATAGGGCGTCTCGTGTTTCCTGAGCGACCTGGGGCATGAGCCTGCCAGCAGGGGGCAGGCGACGGTTGCTGCTGCTGCTACTACTATGTGTGTGTGATCCCCCAATCGAGTGATTAACGAGTAATAGAAGGGGCTCGCTCAACAGAGCTTGGCCAAACAGTTTGTTAGAGGCCGCACAGGGGTCTTTGTACTTCTTTTAGCAAACGTGTGAGTGTGTGTGTGTGTACTTCTGTGTGGGGAGCGGTAGCGCAGCGGTTAGCACGCTGCGCTACGAACACGGCCACCCGGGTTCGATTTCCGCTTATGTCAAACACCATTGACGATCATCTGAACCGGTCCTTGGCCTCCCCTAGGTCCACTCAGCCTCAAATGAGTACCTGGTGCCTCTGTGTGAACATCCCCAATGGGGAGACAAAGGCGGCCGGGCACAGTGCCGTGCCGGCCTTCACAGGTGCTTCTCGCTAACGTCACTTGCCCCAACAGTCTGTTAAGGCTGCACGGGGGATCTTTGTCTTTGTTCGTTAATCCACGTGTTCCTCTGTCTGCCTGCCTCTCACTGCAATCCCAAGCAAGCGGCAGTCACAGGGGGGAAAGAAAAAAAAACTGTCCCCTTCACATCCTGTCAAACAGACGGTGGCGTTTGAAGACCCCGGCGAGTAAAACGGCAGCCTGCTCGCAAAAGTTAAACTTCAAAAGGAGGAAACGAAACTGCGGCTTTTGAAACCTCCAGGTGAACGGCGACGATCGACTCCAGCCGTCGTCCTGCGGCGGGTATGACAATCGCAGCGTCGTTCCGCGGGAAAGTCCCCCCCGAGTCTCGACTCGGGGGGGACTCGGGAGAGAGAGGCACACGCGGACCAGGGCGAGGGGCTCTCCCGTTTCCTCCCACGCATTCGGTAAAAATACGCAGCAAGACGTTCCCAACTGCAGCAGGACCCTCCTGAAAAACGAGTCTTGAGACTCCGGTGATGCTTTCCAGACGTAAAGACCCCATCGACTGGCACAGAGACCCATAGACTCGCACGGAGACTCATAGGTGATCACACTGAGATTCATAGACTGGCACAGAGACCCATAGACTCGCACGGAGACTCATAGGTGATCACACTGAGATTCATAGACTGGCACAGAGACCCATAGACTCGCACGGAGACTCATAGGTGATCACACTGAGATTCATAGACTGGCACAGAGACCCATAGACTCGCACGGAGACTCATAGGTGATCACACTGAGATTCATAGACTGGCACAGAGACCCATAGACTCGCACGGAGACTCATAGGTGATCACACTGAGATTCATAGACTGGCACAGAGACCCATAGACTCGCACGGAGACTCATAGGTGATCACACTGAGATTCATAGACTGGCACAGAGACCCATAGACTCGCACGGAGACTCATAGGTGATCACACTGAGATTCATAGACTGGCACAGAGACCCATAGACCCGCACAGAGGCTCACAGGCGATCACACTGAGAATCATAGACTGGCACAGAGACCCATAGACCCGCACAGAGGCTCACAGGTGCTCGCACTGAGAATCATAGACTGGCACAGAGACCCATAGACCCGCACAGGCGATCACACGGAGATCCATAGACTGGCACAGAGACCCATAGACCCGCACAGAGGCTCACAGGGGCTCGCACTGAGATCCATAGACTGGCACATAGACCCATAGACTCGCACAGAGGTTCATCGGTGCTTGCACGGAGATCCATGGACTGGCACAGAGACCCATAAACTTACACGAAGCCACACACTCATTGATGCAATTGGCCAAACATCGCAATGTAGCAGGACTCTCGTGAAAACGAGTCTTGAGACTCGGTGAGGCTTTCTTGGGTGGATAATGGGCATGGTAATTACCGTAGCGATACGGGTTAGATACACGCACTGGATCGCGGGTGCGGGAAACACCAGCGTGGTGTGCGTGACGAGATCACGTGACTGCTGATGGGTGTCACGTGACTGCTGATGGGTGTCACATGACTAGGGACACCAACATAACAAAAACATCGACTCTCGGATGGAATCGTGAGAGCGGGGATCGTTACGGATCCTCAAACTGCCCCGGGGTGAATTCTTACCCCACTGGGTGCGTTCACCGTGAACGCGCGAGTGCTTTTGTGTGTGCGCGTGTGTGTGTATGTATGTACGCGTGTAGGTGCTCGCTAACAGCACTTGCCCCAACAGTCTGTTAAGGCTATACGGGGGATCTTTTTTTTATCTTTGTATGTACGCGTGTATACGAATGCCTATTTATATGTGTATAAATATGCATGCACGCATACACACGTATGCGTGCATGCATGCATACATGTGTGTGTATACTCGGATGACAAAGGCGGCCGGGCGTGGTGTTGGCCACCCCCACCCTCTCCTGTGCCGTGCCGGCCTTCAGAGGTGCTACTCGCTAACAGCACTTGGCACAACAGCCTGTGGAGGCTATGGGGGGGAACTTTGTTTTTATGTGTGAAGAGCGGTATTGTAGCCATTGGCATGCTGCGCTACGAATCCGGCGACCCAAGTTCAATTCCCGCTCACGACCACCCAAGTCTGCGACCATTATGTGAACCGATCCCGGGCCTCCCCTAGGTCGACTCACCCGTAAATGAGTCACATGGTGCGGTAGTGTAAACACCAGCACCGCGGTTCCAGCCTCACATGTGCACCGTTTGCCGGCCTTGCATAGGTGTTCGCTAAAAGCGATTGCTCCAGCAGTTTGCACGGGGGTTATCTGTCACATCTGCATATGTGTGTGTCTGTGTGTGCATATGAGCGAGTGTCAAACCAGTTTGACAGCTCGCACACACACTGACACACACACGCGGTTGGCGGCGTGGGCAACGCCCAGGTGATTGATTTCGCTGTAATTAATTAAAATTCCTCTTCGGAACGCCGGTGTCTCATCCCAAGACCCCGCGGTGGTTTGGATGGGAGTGGGGACGCGCTGGGGTTTGTGGGGGGGGTGGGGGGGGTGGGGCAGCAGGGCGGGTGTGGCGGTGGTTATTGGAGCATGGGCAGGAGAAGTGTACCGCGGAGTGCCAGCGCGCGCGGGCACACTTACACAATCACTCCGCGTACACGATCGTGAAACGCGCCGGGCTCGCAACCACAAACCCCGTGCACCATCGCTGTCTCATTCAATCACAACACACACAGTCATCGTCTCTCACGCCGTGCGCAAGCACTGTCTCGCACAATGTCCACGAGGACACGCATCCCTCGGAAAGCCTTAAAGGGCCGGCACGGCACACGAGGGGTTGGGTAGCCAGCACCATGGCCGGCCACCTTTGTCTCCATCGTGGCGAAGTTCACACACCGCACCGGGTACTCACTGAGGTTAAGGTGAGCTACGGGAGGCTCGGCACCGGTTGGGATAATCGTCACCCCGGTGTTGGTGGCCGTAAACGGAAATCGAACATAAACGGGTCGCCGGGTTTGCAGCGCAGTGCCCCAACTACCACACGACCGCTCCCCACACACACACGCATACACTACACACAATCACTGTCTCGTACACTAGACACAATTGCCAAGTCAAACAATACACAATCATTGGCTTACTCTATGCACAATCACTGACAAAACATACAATTTCTGCTTAGCCACAAAACGCACTACACACACGGTCACTTCACACGCTCGGCACATACGGTAGCTAACACCGACCCCACAATGCACAAGTATTTTCTCTCTTTACCTGCACAGGAACACGCTGCGCACCATCGCTCTGTGCGCAATCAACTGCACGCACACACGGACGGACGGACGGACACTAGCCCGCATTATACACACACACACATTCGGTGTATAATCGCACACAGCCACACACAAACACACTCACATGCATACAATATCAAAAGGCATAGGTCCCCTGTGTAGCCTCAACAGACTGTTGGGGCAAGTGCTGTTAGCGAGCACCTATGAAGGCCGACACGGCACACGAGGGGGTGGGTGGCCAGCGCTGATGTTTTACACATCGAGCCAGACGAGGCCCGGGACCGGTTCAGGTAATCGTCACCCCGGTGTTGTTGGCTGCGAGCGCGACTCAAACTTGGTTCATGGCCGCGGTTTGTAGCGCAGCGTCGCTAAGCAATGCGCCACCGCTCCCCAACACACACACACGCGCACACACACGCGTGCACACACGCTCACTCGGCTCCACACCGCCCCACATTCAGGGAGTCGCCTCATAGTTGTGGCTTGATCGCCCCGCGCGCGAGGAGCTGTGATGCCAGGGGGCTAATGGCTGCGTGGGGGGGGAGAGGCCTGTGGTGAAGAGGAGGGGTGGCGGTGGTGGCGGTGGTGGCGACACGGCAATCCCTCCAGCTTGCGCGAGAGACGCGGTGTCCGCCTGTCACTGTTGTTTACGACCCGGCTTGTTTACCCCACGAAATTCTCACCGGAGCCTCAAGACTCCTGAATGCAGGAGGGTTCCTGCCGAGTGTTCCCTGTAGTCGGGGGGGGGTGGGGGGGGGGAGGCGCGGGATGATGTTGTTGCTGATGCTGCTGTGTGTGGTGCCAGTTGAGTGATTTGCAGGGGATTTTTTTCAGTTTGGGGGGATGTTTTGGCCACTGTGTGTGGGTTTAGCTGTGGCAGTAAATCCATGCGGAACAGGTGGAGAGCATACAAAATACACTCACTCATTGTCACTGCGTAAAACAAGGTGCGATGCCAGTATGACAGGGAGAGGGATGGTCTCAGATGAACTGGACCTTGGCGATGGACACCAGCTGTTGGGACATGGATTGTCACAAGGGGGGAAGGAGCCGGAGCTGGTGGAGGTGGTGGCGAAAGGTACCGACAAGATGTAGTCGGTGTCGTCAATCATGCGCAGAATTGCCACTGGACCCAAACTTCTCGATCGGGGGTGGTCTCTCTCCTACTGCGGAGCAACCCCTGGTGAGAGGCCCCGGGTGGATGTGGGGATACGCACAAGCCCCCGGCTGGGTGCTGTTCAGTGGGAGTTTGTCCCGGTGGATGAGAGGGTCGCCTCAATGAGACTTCGGGTCTCAGAAAGGAGAACTCTGACTGGCTGCCTGTGCACCAAACAGCAGTTCAGAGTATTTGGCCTTCTTGGAGACGGTACAGTGCTGGACAGAGTGCTGCCTACCGACCCCACGGTCTTATTGGGCGACGTCAGTGCTCACGTGGGAAACGATGGAGATGCTTGGAGAGGCGTGATTGGGAGGAATGGCCCCCCCTGATCTGAACCCGACCGGTGAGATGTTATTGAAATTCTGCGCTAGTCACGGAATGTCAATAACAATCACCGTGTTCGAACATGAGAATGGTCATCAGCGTACTTGGTACCAGAGCACCTTGGGCCGAAGGTCAATGATTGATTTGATCGTTGTATCATCTTACTTGAGGGCGCATGTTCTGGACACTCAGGTGAAAAGGAGAGGGGCAAAGCTGTCGATTGATCACCACCTGGTGACAGGTTGGTTCCAACGCTTTGGGCACCGACCGGATAGAAGCGGAAGGCCCAAAACGAAGAGTGCGGGTTTGCCGGGAACACTTGGCAGAAGACCGAGTGCAGAAAGATTTCAACTTCCACCTCTGGGAAATCTTCTCCTGCACTCCATTGGAGGTCATGGACATTGAGTCCAAGTGGACGATGTTCAGGACCTCGATTGTGGATGCAGCTGCGAAACGCTGAGGCCTGAAGGCAGTTGGTGCCTGTCATGGTGGCAACCCTAGGGACCCGCTGGTGGACACCGGTGGTGAGGGAAGCTGCCAAGTGGAAGAAGGAGGCTTTCCGAGCTGTGCTCAGAAAAGGGTCTCCCGACTCGATTGAGGGCAGCAGCTGCAGCAGTCGCTGAAGCGAAAGCCCCCGGACGTGGGCGGAGTTTGTAGAGGCAATGGAGAGGGACTAACCGGACAGCCTAAAACATGTTCTGCCAAACCATCCGACGCCTTGCGAGGGGTCGACGGGACGTGGCCCCGGCTGTTCCCAGTAAGGGTGGCGGCGGCATCACACATTGACCTCAACTAAGGAGATAGTCGAAAGATGGAAGGAACACTTGGAGGAGCTGAGAATAGGTTTTTCCCCCCTTTTTCTGGCAACAAAAACACATTTTACAAGGAATCGTGTCTGCATTAACCACAATGCTTGTGATCAGAATGCAAACAAAAAACATACTATGATAATATATGCATTGTCTTTGAAACTGATCACAAGTATTGTGGTTAATGCGGACATGATTCCTTGTAAAAGGTGTTTTTGTTGCTAGAAAAAGGGGAAAAACCTATTGTCATATTTTGTTACTGGCAAAGGAGGTCCCATGACTTGCAGGAGCTTTTCAACCCGGTGGACACTCCCTTCTCTCAGGAGGCAGCCCTGGAAACAGCTGGGGAGGGGGGGGGGTCCATCACGGTTGCTGAAGGCAAAGCTGCTGGGGTGGACGAAATTCACCCAGAGTTGTTGAAAGCGCTGGACAGTGTAGGAGTGTCATGGTTAACACGTCTCTTCAGCGCTGCATGGAAGGTGTGTACACTACCTCTGGATTGGCAAACTGAGGTCGTCGTTCCCATTTTTTTTAAAAGGGGAGCAGCGTGTGTATGTGTGTACTCCAACTACAGAGGGATCACACTCCCCTGCGTCCCAGGTAAACCCTCTGCGAGAGTGCTGGAGAGGAAGCGCTGCCCAGTGGTCAAGCCTCAGGTTCAGGAGGAACAATGCGGATTCCGTCAGGGTCGTGGGACAATGGACCGGCTCTTTTCCCTGTCACAGATATTTGAGGGCTCATGGGAGTGATTCTCCAGTCGACCTCTTCTTTGTAGACTTGGAGAAGGCATGTGACCGTCTTCCTCGCAATGTCTTGTGGGAGGTGCTGCGGGGGAGTACGATGCACCGGTGACGCTTCTGTGCGCTAGACCCTCCTGACGTTGGGCCCTGAGACCCACGGAGGCTTTCCCGGTCCAACGTGGCGCTCAGTTTTAGCTACGCTGCCCGACATTCAAGTCGTTGGTCACTCGACCGATGATCAGTTCCGTGTGTGTGTGAGTTGCGTGTAGATACGTCTTTGTGTGCGGTCGTGTACACTATCGCGGGGAGCGGCGGTGTAGCGGTTAGCGCTACGCTGCACTACGAACCCGGCGGCCCGAGTTCGATTTCCTCTCGCTGCCAACACCGGTACCTGGTGTTGTGTGTAAACATCGCCACTGGGGAGACAAAGGCGGTCGGGTGTGGTGTTGACCATCCACCCCCTCGTGTGCCGTGCCGCTAACAGTACTTTCCCTAACAGTCTGCAGGCTACATGGGCGATCTTTGTCTTGGTTGTGTATATACGTCAGCACGTGATTGTGTGTATTTACCTGTGCGGTTGTGTGCGTGTGCGTGCTTGCGTCGGTGCGTTTGTAGAGAGCGCGGCGATGAGCGACGCCGACGTGGTGTGCGTCACGCTGCGGTTCCCCGGGGGAGCCCTCGGCACCGTGGAGTCGGGGAGGAGCGGACCCGGGGCCTGCGAGCACCGCGTGGAGGTGAGCGCACCACGTCGACGTGGCGTCACCTCGTGCCGTGGAGCGTGCTGCTGTTGTGACGCGGCGCGGTGCGGCATCGTGTGCCGTGGTGTGACGCGCGGTGCCGTGGTGTGACGCGGTGATGTGACCCCCCCCCAGGTGCGCGGCACGCAGCTGGCGGTGCGCGTGGAGGCCGGGGAGCCGCTGGGCGTGCGAGTGCTGGGCCCCGCGGGGGGCCCCTGGGCCCCGCTGCCCTCCCAGACGAGCGCCCAGCACTACCGCGCCGCACGCGCCGCCCTGGTGCACCACTTCCTGCACACGCTCACCGGTGCGGAGACACGCACGCACACATACACACGTACACATGTACACACACACGCATACTCACGTACACGCATACACATGTACACTCACTCACACGCATACACATGTACACTCACTCACACACATACACTCACACGCACGCACGCATACACATGTACACTCACTCACACGCATACACATGTACACTCACTCACACGCATACACTCACGCACGCATACCCATGTACACTCACTCACACACATACACATGTACACTCACTCACACTCACTCACACGCATACACATGTACACTCACTCACACACATACACATGTACACTCACTCACACGCATACACTCACACGCACACACACATACACATGTACACTCACTCGCACGCATACACATGTACACTCACTCACACGCATACACATGTACACTCACTCGCACACATACACATGTACACTCACTCGCACGCATACACATGTACACTCACTCACACGCATACATATGTACACTCACTCACACGCATACACTCACACGCACACATACATACACATGTACACTCACTCGCACGCATACACATGTACACTCACTCACACGCATACACATGTACACTCACTCGCACACATACACATGTACACTCACTCGCACGCATACACATGTACACTCACTCGCACGCATACACTCACACACACGCATACCCATGTACACTCACATACACGCATACACATGTACACTCACTCGCACGCATACACTCACACACACACATACACATGTACACTCACTCGCACACATACACATGTACACTCACTCGCACACATACACATGTACACTCACTCGCACGCATACACATGTACACTCACACACACGCATACACTCACACACACGCATACCCATGTACACTCACATACACGCATACCCATGTACACACTCACGCATGCATACTCATGTACACTCACACGCACGCATACCCATGTACACTGACACGCACGCATACCCATGTACACTCACACGCACGCATACCCATGTACACACGCACACACATACCATGTACACTTGCGCACGCATACTCATGTACACACGCAGACGCACGCATACTCATGTACGCACGCAGACGCATTCTCATGTACACATGTGCATACACATATAGACACGCATACACATGTACACACGCACATGCACGCATACTCATGTACACATACATGCACGCACGCGCACACACACTTCAATATGAATACCAATACCCGCAATTCACCACTAAGTGAGGGTGACGTCACCACGGCGCCTGTCCCCACAATGACAGCTCGCTGTGCTTTAGCCACCCAGCGCTCCGCTCGTTGTTGTGAGCGTCGCTCCTCCGACCTCCGTTGTTGTTGGAGGGCGACTGCCTCCAAATGCCCCAGTAGCAGCGTCCTTCACGAGCCTCCTCCACAGAGGCCGACCTTGACTCTGCTGGAGCAGCCCCATCTATCCGGCCAAACAGAAGCTGCTTGGTCATGCGGTGGTTGGGCATACGGGCTACATGACCCAGCCCATGCAGCCTTGCACAATCCAGCCTGGTTAACCCTGGATGGATCGTAGGCAGGACAGCCTGAATGTTTCTAACCGGCGCAGATGCTCCTTTAAGGGGGCTCCACGTTTCACAAACACAGAGAAGGGAGGGCATGACCGTGGCGGAGAAGACCCGGAGCTTTGTATGGAGCGACAAACCAGGTAGCTTCCACACAGTGTTACGCAACCGATGAAAAGATAATGTCGCTCGACTGATTCGGAGTGAGACTTCCGCTCCTAAATCAGAGCAGGTCATGAGCACACACAGCCCAAGTACAGAAACTTCTTGACTCTTTCCACAACTGCCCCATCACTCATGGAGAGTCCCTGTGTCACCCCGTGTCACCCCGTGTCATCCCGTGTCTCGCCGTGTCTCACCGTGTCTCACCGTGTCTCCCCATGTGTACTCCGTGTCTCACCGTGTCTCCCCATGTATACCCCGTGTCTCTGTGTCTCCCTGTGTGTCACCGTGTCTCTGTCACCCCATGTCTCACCGTGTCTCCCCATGTGTAGCCCGTGTCTCACCGTGTCTCCCCATGTGTAGCCCGTGTCTCACCGTGTCTCCCCATGTGTAACCCGTGTCTCACGTGTCTCCCCATGTCCCACCCCATGTCCCCGTGTCTCCCGTGTGCATGTCGTCGTCGTCCCCCCCCCCCCCCCCCCCCGTGCAGGCGCCGTGTCCCCCGGCGTCTCCCAGGAGGACTACAACCGCGCCGTGGGCGTCTGCTCCGCGGCGGAGCAGTACTGGCGCGAGGGCTGCCCGCGCGACGCCGCCCTCATCACCATCGTCAAGACTGAGGTCATGTGACCTGTGGGGGGGAGTGAGCTGCCCCCCCCCCGCCCATCCACACACGCACACAACCTCGTGTGCACCCCCACCACCTGAATTGATGAGGCGCGTCGTGGGTGAGGTGAAAGGAGTCGGGGATGAGCGACTCGCACGCACGGGTTCTCACGGTGGACGGACGCCCCCAGTCGTCACCCGGTGATCCCGGGGTGCGGTGGGGGGTGTGGGGGTGTCGGGGTGTGGGGGGGGGATGGGAGGGGGGGTATGGGCTCGGGGGATAAGGTGGTCCCGGATAAAACCAAAAACACGGATGATGCGAAGTTAGTTTGTGTTGGTCGGTCGGAGCTTCGGGCGGCAGATTTGTGCCGTAAAGTTTGCCGACGTGTTAAAAAAGCAAAAACGAAATTGACTTGACTTAGGTGGGAGCGTATTTATTGTAGTTGGCGTCGAGTTGGGGGCGGAGAGAGACGCGTAGGCCTCTTCGTCCCTTTTTAGTGTTTTATCTTCGAGTATTCGGATTGCTTCCCCCACACCGCCCACCGTGATTGCGGTCGTGCGGGCACCGGCGAGCTCGGTGCGAGCGAACTCGCCGTCCGGGTGTTCCGTCCCGAGGATGCGGGAGAGTTGGCGGGTGGCTACGCGCGGATCACGTGCGCGGTCGGGCACGCACAACCGCACCTCCTTGCCGACGACCACGAAACCCCAACCCTACCGATCGTCAAACCGAGACCTCGGCAGTTTACCTCGCTACCACCGCCGACTCTAGAATCTCGCCACCCAGATCCGGAAGAACGCTGCTGCTGCCGCTGCCGCTGTGCGAACAGAGTGGAAGTAACGCAGACGTCCAGAATAACCACCCCCCCTTCCCCCATTCGAGACCAAAAACATTGTCGCACCACCTCCTCGCTTTGACCGCTCCTCCTCCGCCTGGAAGACGCTGGGGGAGCCGTCAACCGAGTCAGATGGTCACCTGGCCGATGCTGCTCCACGTGTCCTCCTTGAATGGAAATTTAAAGATGCAGCCAAAGTGGTGCGACTGTGGCCATGTAACTCCAACCCCCAATGTGCTCTGCTGCGCTCCTTCAATGGAGGAGGAGGAACAGCGACACGACACAAACTCTCTCTCTGCGCTGAAGCCCTCTCTATCTCTCTCGTCGTTAGCAGCAGCAGCAGCAGCAGTACCTCCATATTGGCATCTGGACGACATCGCTGCTGCCATCATCGTGCGCAGGAGTAGAATTGAGTAGTGACGCCGTGCAACAAAAAAAGGCCCGTGGTTTATCGTGTTTCTCCATCGAACCGGTGCAGGGAGAAGAGGACACACCGCTCTGACTAACGCTGCCCCGTAGGAAGCACTTCACACGCCGGGGCCGGTGGCATCGGCGTCCACGTCCTTGGCGCGGAGTCGGCTGCTTAACGCTCACGCGCCTAGCGCCCACCGCTCGCCAGGGACGTTGGGCCGAGTGGCGGGAGCGTGGTAGGCGGGGGGGGAACGCGGTACCCAGAAGGCCTCCTCGCGAAAGTCGCTCTGCTCGACCGATCGAATTCCAGCGGCCGCTCAATGGAATTCTGACGATTCGGAGGCCCTGATCTGATGTTCAGAATTTTTTTTTTTTTATCTCGAATACTTTTTACATGATGTTGTACATTTTATTCTATTTTATTGGCCACGTGGTCGGTGTGGGTCTGCCCCGTGTACCCCTCCCATCCCGTCGGTACTCGCCGGGCTCTTCCTCCATGGCACCCAAACGGTACCGGCATCGCACCGAGCGTCATCATGAAATCGCGAATCCCTTGCACGCACACACACACACACCAAATAAAAGACAAAGATCTACGAACAGCATATTCCTGGTTCTTGAGGTAAAGTTACATAGATAGAAAACTAAATAATAAAATAAAAACTAAAATAATATAAAATAATTACTATTTGGTTCCTTCGGTAAAGTCACGTAGAAATAAAATAAATAATAGAACACGACGTTTCGATTGCAACACAAGCAACTGTCATCAGGTGTGAATGAAAGCAAGCTGGGAGAGAGACACACATACAGAGAGAGACAACACAGACACAGAGAGAGACGCACAGAGAGAGACACACATACAGAGAGACAACACAGACACTGAGAGAGACGCACAGAGTGAGACACATACAGAGAGACAGAGAGAGACACACAGACTTTGACTTTTAAACCATTTTATTGCTGCGGCGGCAATTGCTCTGCAGCCTCTTTTTGGTTCGAGGTCATCACCATCAGTAACATCACCGCTAAAAAACGCGGCCCGTGCGCCACACCGCCATGTGCACCATACCGCGGCCCGTGCGCCACACCGCCAAGTGTGCCGCACCGCCACGTGCGCTGCACCGCCGCGCGCGTGCCGGACCGCCACGCGCGCCACATCACACTCGCGTCGCCGCGTCCAACGCCCGCTTCAACTTGATCGTTCAAAATGTGAAAGTCAGTTCGCCGTTTGTGTTGGTGCAGAGGGCCTGACCGGCCCCCCCACCGCTCCTGGAACACGGCGTGCGGGTCCCCAACCTGGGAGTAGTACGAGGCGTGCTCCAGCCGGAGCCTCACTTTCAGCAGACCCTTCAGCATCGCCACCACTGAACAGCCGTCGTCCGTGTCACCTTGCAGTTTCTTTTTCCGCGTTTTGTACACCGCCATCTTGGCTTGCGTGCAGACAAAGTTTGCCAGGTTGTGGCGCTTGTCCGCCTGCTACGGTACCCCGCATATGAAACTGCTCTTGTAGAAGGGCAACCCCAATTTCTTGAAGATGGCTCCTAGAAGTCTGAACAACGGGTTCAGCCGTGAACACCCCACGTACTGGTGGGCCAGATCCTCCCTCACGCCACAGAAAGTGCACAGATCCGACGCCCCCGGGATGACTTTGCTGATCCGCGCTGCCGAGGGCAGCGTCCAGTGCGCCAGCCTCCACTGGAGGTCCCCGCTGCGCTTTGCAACGGGGCCTTGTACAGCTGTTTCCACTGGGGGGTGGTGTCGATCAGGGAAGAGAAGAAACCCCCCCCCACTTCGTGTCCGGTAGGTCTGCCAGCTCTCGACACCGCAGTGTCTTGACGCAGCACACGTACAGCACCCCCTTGGAGGCACCCTTGAGGGCCACGTCCCTGCAGTCCGCGAGCTTAAGCAGCTTCCTTGTATCACAGCGCCCAAGGGGCTGGATGCAGATGCGCAACTCTTGGAAAGTGGGGGGGGGGGGGGGGGGGGGGGGGAGGATGGTCGTGCGGCGCCGCTGTCTCCCGGCGCTTCCAGCTGCAATCGCAGCTTCTGCATTGCTGCGAGCGCCTCCTGCAACAGTTTTTCTCCGGCCATCATGGAGCGGAGCCCAGCGGCGGCGCTCACCTCGGCCGCGTTTTTCCATTTGGAGCGGCCGTCCTGGCTCCTCACGAGATCGCCAACCGTCCGCACTCCTGCCGAGGCGAAACGGAGGGCCAGCGTTCTCTCCTCCCTGATTCCATCGAGGAGGCTATTATAGAAGAGGTTCGGTCATGAAAACTTTGAGGCCATGGTGCGGGCTCGCCCTGCTCCATTCAAGGCTCCACCACGCCTCCAAAAGGCTCTGATAGTAGTCTGGCAGCCCCGTGCAATCGACCCGGGCTAGGTCCATGAGGAAGAGCTCCCTTCCATATCCCAGGCGCCCACCCGCATTTCTTAGCAGGGCGAGGGCCAGCGACTTCCAGGGCAGCTCCTCATCGTATAACAAGTTTCTCACGGCCTGGAGCCTGAAACTCATCATTCGGGCGGTGACATCTACCAGGCCCTGGCCGCCCTCACCCACCGGTAGGCAGAGGACCCCTGGCCTCATCCAGTGCTTGCCGTTCCACACAAAGTGGGCGAGCGACCTGTTTGCCCTCGTGAGTAATCAGCCCAGGGGTTGGAGGACCTTGGCCCTATGCCACAGCACCGAGGCTGCCAGGTTATTCCCTATAAGCACTCTCCCCCTGAAGGACATTTGGGGAGCGAGACGTGCCCACGCCCTCAAATATGTCGCCCATCTCAGTCCAGTTTTTCTGAGCAACTTGAGGTTTCCCTAGGTAAACTCCGAGATACTTTACGCCCTCGACCTGCCAGGTGACTCCGCCTGGGAGGAGCACAGAACTCACGGCACCTTGTGACCCCAAACATAACGCCTCACACTTCCGCCAGTTGACCTTGGCGCAGGAGGCCTTTTCATAGACCCCCACCGCCCGGCAGAGTGCAGAGACGTCCTGCGTGTCGTTAATTACAGCGCATACGTCGTCCGCATATGCGGAGAGCTATTTTGAGGCCCCGGAACCTTGAACCTGGAAAAGGTGTTCCTTAGGCGTCGCAAGAGCGGCTCAAGGGACCCTGTTCTCCTTGTCATGGGAACAGGGCAGCCAAGCCGTTGGTTGATTTTTATGAGGCTGGATATGCCCGTATACAGGAGGTGCACGTGTGCCGTGAATATCTGGCCGAACCCGAAGGAGAGGAGCAGTCTTCTCAGGTTCGCGTGGCTCACCCTGTCGAACGCCTTTTCCTGATCCATGAATAGGAGACCTGCGTCCATGTCGTGCATATCCGCGAGGGAGATCACATCCCTGACCGTGCCGATGTTGTTGTAAACGGCCTGGGACTCAATACGCCTGTCTCGGGTTGTACGAGCTGACCCCCACCACCTCTTTGAGGCGGTTTGCCAGCACCTTGGCGAAGATTTTATAGTCGGCGCACAAGAGGGGGACACGGGTCGCCAGTTCCCTATGCGACGCAGGTCCCCCTTCTTGGGCAGCAGGGTGACCACCGCCCTCCTGCAGCTCTGCGGGAGTTCCCCTTCCCGCAGGCTCTCCTTCAGCAGCCCCAGCAGGCAAGGGCCGAGCTCATCCCAGAAAGCTGCGTAGAACTCGACCGGCAGCCCGTCGATCCCTGGGGATTTACCAGCCGCCAATCCTTTCATGGCGGCGTGCAGCTCCTCCAGGGTGACGGGGCTTTCTAGCCTATCTCTCTCCTCGTCCCCCAGGGTAGGGCCCCCGTCTAGTAGTTATTTGACCGCCTCATCCTGTATGTCCTCGGCTTTCAATAGATGTGAATAGAAGTCCCTCGCGATCTTAGCAATTTCCCTCTCGGCAGTTTCTGTCTCCCCCTCTGTCATTGCTCGAGGGTTTGTTGCCTAGTTGAAAGAAATACTTTGAGGGAGAGTCTGTCTGTGCCAGGTGTTG